AAATTTATTTAATATATATTCTTAAAACACAACATAAAAAAATCTTAATAATAATTTTATATTTTTTAATAATAATTAATTTAAAAAATATAATAATTATACTATCAAGGCACAACCTAAACAGAAAAGTTACATGAGAAAAGACGTGAGTGAAGTGATCGGTTCACGTACCAATAAGCGACTGACGGAGAGATCGGTGAGAGGAAAGAGAAAACCTTCGACCACCGCAGGAAATGTAGAGTCTCGAGAGGAAGCCGATTGGGAGAGTTTGGGGAGAGGGACTATTGGCAAGGGGGAAGTGATCGACAGAGAAAATTATGGGGAGAGGAAAAGAGAGTTTGCAAGCTACTGGTTACTTTTACTTTATTTTCATTTATGAAAATTAAATGAGATTCAGATGTGGTCCCAAATTAACCCCAATCCAACCACCACAATTCTTCCAAAATGTTATGTCATCAATATCTACCGTTTGAAAAGAAAATACAGCAACAACTAGAGAGAGAAATTTCTTAACCATGCCACCGAAATGTGAGACCCACATAGCAAATTTGTTTTCCCCATCATGTATAATACCTGTGACACATGCTAGGTTGTTTCTACCCAACATTCTCTAACTCACTCACAAAGCACATCAACACCAATATATAGTATTTATTACTATTGCTGTTGTAATTTTCTAGTTATTTTGCTCTTTCCATGCCACCAAAGTTGTATTCAGAATATTTGTGGACTGCAAAGGTTGTCTGTTCTAGTTATTAATCCACTTACAGCCTCTCCAATCTTCAATTTGGGCTACCTAACAGTCTTCTTTTTGTAAAAAAAATCAAGAACGGCCCAACATACTATAGGTGGACTTTAGGTTTGACCAAGAAAATGGCATCTAGGGCCTCAGGCCCATACATAGAGTAGCCTTCTTTGCAGCATTCAATCATTATGAAGATAAAACGGAGGACCAAATCCAATGACCAATATAATATTATATTTAGAAATTCGACTATCCTAGACTTAGTCTTGACAAAAATTCACTCAATCTATCAACTTGATTCTAACTCAACTCGTAAAAATGAGTCAAAATCTATATATCTCAATTCATAACTCATAGATAACCCATATTATCATCCCATATGGATCACAGAACGGGTTAAGGGTTGATCCGTTTATTTTATTTTTTCTTATTATTTTTAAATATTATACTTATTATTCTTAATTAATTTTCCTATTAGTAACTCCTTCTATTAATTCATATTACCTAATTTCTAGAG